GGGTTTGCTCAGTTGTCTGTCTGCAGCTTCTGGTTTTCCACCCACTTCCACCTCATGGGCACCTGTGACCACCATGTCCCTTTCTCTCCATCACTTTATGTTGGGCTCTTTTTCCTGCCGGGCTGAGAATTCATCACCATCCCACAGAAGTGGGCCAGTRGAACCCTGACCCAAAGTGTCCTGTGCTTCGGCACAACCACAGCCCCTCACCTGGTGGCTTCGAGGACACGCTTCACCTTGCAGATGGGCACTGGCTTTGGTCAGATGCCTTCGCTACTCCTAGTAAGATGCTTCCAGTCCTCTCCTTCAGTCTCTAAGCACATAAGTGAACTTCATAAAATCCATGTAATAATGAGTAAGATTCATTGTTTTTTAATGTAAAACATACCCTGTATTCCTAATAAAACCTCAACTCGGTGATGAGGATGGTGGATCCCATTTATAGATGGCTGGATTCAGTTGGATGACCGCTTGCTGGAGGTTCTAGCAGCTTCCCCTTAGTGAGACAGCTCACCAGTGGCCATTCAAGTGTGTCCCTGTGAGAGGTCACCTTCAGGGAGGCGCAGCGCTCACCTGGGAGCACTCATGGATCTCTGGGGTCTTTCTCAAGCATCGGGAAGAATGCCCTGATACTGTCCTGTGATGCAGAGCTTTCTTGGCAGGAAAAATCTAGTATACTCATTCCGTTTCCTTAGTGATTATAGAAAAACTTTGGTTCTGTATTTCTGATTAAATCTGGTAAATTTCATTTTTCTAGAAAAGTTTTTCTTTCACATAAAGTTGTCAGGATCATTCCAACATCATACTCTCCTTGCAGACTGATAAGTCACCCTGTTGTTGTTTCACGGATGCCATCAGAAGACAAGAGTGCCCACATCAAAGACAAAGGATGCCCTCATCCCAGCCCAGGAAGGAGGGGCCAGGCTGYCTGGGCTCCCTGGGTTCTCAAGCCCCTGGGGAGGACAGGCCAGGAAGATGCCGCACACAGTGGTTTGCACACCAAACTTGGGAATGCAGCTCTTTTAAAGCAAGCTCTCATGGTCCCCCAAAGACCAAGAGACGACAGGACACTTCATCCCTCAAGGTTGATCTATGTGAACATGACCCTGTAAAATGACTTGGGGCCCACAGTAGACAGGGCTCTGAATTCTTAAAAAGTGCTCATGTGCTCAGGGCCACAGCGATGGCCTCTCCCACCAGCTGCCTGAGCCCCCCGGCAGTCTTGGCCACACACATTACCAGGAAGGGACTCATGCGGGATCATGGCTGGCTGCTTCCTTGGGTGGACTCTTTTGTCTGTGAAGGCCCTGCTGGGGACTGGTGGTCACGCTGGCCCCGAGAAGGACACTCTGGCCTCCAGCAGTCCACGTTGCTGCGTGGTCTGCAGCTTCCCTGTGGCGAGCATTTAGACAGCCTGTCTTCACACGGAGCAGCGTTCCTCCCTCTCCGTTGGATGCAGGCCTGGGGGACGGGTTTCCGTGCTCCGTCTTCCTGGGCGACTGGCCCCTGCGTTACATTTCCTTCTCTTCTCTTGCTGGCTTGGAGCTCTGCCGCCCCGTCCTGGCAGGAGTCTGCACAGGGCTCTGCCCCAGTGCTGCACACTGCACGCCTGGTGTCCTTGCCACTAGTTCTGCAAACCCTCTCACCACCCATGGCCCCTGTGGGTTCCCTACATGGCCACTGCCCACTGGGTCAGTCTGACTCCCTCTACATCYCTCCCCTGACCCCTGTGGTTGAAGGTCGACCCCACCCCCTCCCCAGTGGGGTCCGTTCTTCTCTCTTTCCTCCTGTGCCGCTTGCTGGTCGGCCGTGAGGGCTGTCTCTGGACGGCAGGCCTTGTTTTCTTCCCCTCTTGGGCCYTCGGCTGCGGGAGTCGGCCGCCTGCTCCCGGACCACCTTCCATGGTTTCTGCAGCTTCTCCTTCTCAGGTCACGTCCGTGTCCCTGGCTGCCTGAGTTCCCAGCACTTGCTTGCGTGCTGCGGCTTTGTTCTTATTTTTCTAGAGCGAGTCCTGGGATTGAACAGATGGACTGACACACAGTCAGTTCTGGGAGCGCCTCGGCCGTGCCCTCTGACCCTCTGGACTGACACACAGTCAGTTCTGGGAGCGCCTCGGCCGTGCCCTCTGACCCTCTCTTCCTCCTGGGGCTCCAGGGGGGGCCCTGGTCTGGCCCTGGAGCTGACGCCTGTGCTGCCTCCGCTCCTGGGAATCCTCACCTTCTTGTCTCTGTTCTCGTTTCTGGGTGGTTTCTTCCAAACCATCCTCCACTCCAGGTCACTGGTTTTTCTAACACTGCATCAAATCTGCTTTCAAGTCTGTCCCTTGAGTTCTAATTTCTATGATTTTGTTTCCTTTTATTATATTCATTTGATTCTTTAAACTATCTTCTTTGATCATGAACTATTCTGATAGCTGGTTTTCCTCCCTGCTCTCCCCCAGTGTTTCCTTGGGTGAAATGCACATGGCATAACCATGCTGCTGGTGCAGATGCGAGTCCTGCGRTCAGAGCTGCAGGTGAGCACCTGCACAGCTGCTCACAGAGGGCGCCTCTTGCTCCACTGAACTCCACACTGGCTGCACAAGGACTCCAGGAAGCCATGGGCAGGATGACCTGGGGTGCGTGTGGACCTGGCCCTGTGGTCAGGGCCCTGGGGACTGGCTGACTGCACTGACCGCATCTCCAGGGCTCACCACCCTGCTACACCTGGGACTCTCTTTCTTCTTAAGGCTGAATAACATCCCATTCTTTCTCTGTCCGTCCTTTTACCAGTGGAYGCTGGGGTGGCCTCCAGCTTCTTGCTGTTGTGAATAATGACACTAGGCACCTGGGCACACAATGCACATCCTCAAGACCTGGCCTTTGACCTGGCTTTATAGGCAGGAGCGAAATGGCCGGGTCCTTCTGTGGTCACCATTACTCATTCTATTCCCCTTTCCATTTCACCATTACATCTCCACCAGCCAGGCCTGAGAGCTCCAGTGCTCACRGCCGCTCGCGCTCTGTGCCTCCCACCTCCCAGGTGGTCAGATAGGGCGGTCGGCCATTCACAGGTTTCTTGCAGAGAGGACCTCTCACARCAGGCCAAGGCCATCAGGGCCAGGGACAGGCTTTCAGCAGATGGTGCTTGGGAAGCTGAGTGGCCACACAGGAAAGGATGCCGTCAGATGCCCCTGGCACTGCAACCAACACAGAGTCAAAGTGGATCAAAGGCTAACATGGAACTCGGGGGAAAGCCGGGGGCAGCCACTGGGCAGCCATTTCCTGGGTGTGAAACCAGAGTCATTGGCAATAAAAGAAAACAGGCATAGAGGACTTCCTGGACCTTTGGGACATCAAAGAGACAGTCAACAGTGTCACAGACCCCTGGTCTGGAGGTGACATCTGCCAGCCAGGTCCTGATAAGGGGCTGGTGTCCAGAATACAGAAAGAGCTCTCAAATGCAACAACTAAACACAAACAACCGGATTCAAAAGTGGGCAAAGGACATTTGTGCAGTGACAGAGATTGAGCCCAGGGACACCACCTCTGAACTGCATCCCCAGCCCTCCCCCACCTCTTTCTCACTCAGTCACCCAAGCGGCCTGGGACCTGGGACCCGCCACCTGGGCCAGCAGGACCTCGTGTGCCACCACACCTGGCTTGACTGTTGTCTTGATGGAATCTCAAGATTGGCATTTTGTTTCTTTGAGCCTTGTTATTGGTCAGTAGGAGCCTGACGGCGCCACACCTGGTGTCCCTCTGCTGAGGCCTTCCTATGTGCTCAATCATCTTTATGTCCTTGGTTTACAAGTCACTTGTAGGAATAATTTGAGGCCAAGATGACACCATCTCCCTCCAGAGCATATTTTCGTTTTTTCTGCCTGGAAGATGCCACCCGACCCACACCCCAGGACCCACRTGCCTGGAGCCAGGGCCCAGCGCCCCTGCAGGCTGGTCAGGGACCTGGCTGTAGCTAGCCCTGAGCTCTCACATTGCCCTCTCTCCTCCCTGAGCTACTCAGGTCGCAGCTGGGCTCTGGAAAGGCAGTGAGGACAGGGGCCAGCCCCATGCCTCTCCTGGCGCTGGCTTGGACCCTGGTGCTCTGGGGGACAGAGTGTACCCATCCACCGTTTTGTTGATCTGAACACACACATGCCCTCACTGGAGGGAGTCCCAGCAGCCTTTTCTAAAGGCCCAGTTCTGCTCACATTCTTCCCAGCAGCAAAGAGTGACAATATGGGGCCAGCACTGTGACCATCAACTCGTCTGCCTTTGCCCAGCTCCCTGTGAGGTCAGAGCTGGTGTCTTAAACTACTATAATAAAGTGCCTGAGACTGGGAAGCTGATAAACCACAGGAGCATTCTTCTCACAGCCCTGGTTCTTTCAGAGTTGATGCCAGAGAGGCCTGCTTCCTGGGGTCTTCCAACTGTGTCCTCACGTGGCAGGCCACCCTGTGGCCTTGATAAGGTCACTGATCCCCTTCCTCAGAGCTCCCCCTCATGATCTCCTCCCTCCAGAAGGCCCCACCCCTCACACATCGTCTTGGGGGWGAGGATGGGTGTGGGGACTGAGCCGGTGTGAGCTGTCTCAGAGGTAAGAAGACCAGAGCCAGGGGGCAGTGACCTGTCTCAGGGACACAGAGTCAGGCCTGAATTCTGCCTGTCGGAATGCAGAGCCTCTGCTCAGCCTCTGCTGCTCCGAAGCCGCCTGGGCTCCCCACTTCCGTCCTGCGCCGGCTCTGCTGGCCCTGGCCCGGACCCCGCCCTTCCCGATGGCCCAAGAAGCCCTTGAAGCCGCAGGGGCTGCTGGGCAGGCCAAGAGCGGCAGGCCCTGCGGGAGGGATTCCACAGCAGGGCCTCAGGCACTCGGCTCGGGTCAGAACCTGGCCCTGAGCACCTGGCTGCCTGGGGCCCCATCTCAGGGTCCTCTGGGGAGGCTGCTGAGGCTGGGTCRCCCTCCCAAGATGCCGGGTCAGGAGGGAGGAGGCCCCGTGCCCAGCTCCCGCCTTCTCTCTCCAGGTGAACAACAACGGCATCATCTCCTTCCTCAAGGAGGTCTCCCAGTTCACCCCCGTGGCCTTCCCGATCGCCAAGGACCGCTGCGTGGTGGCCGCCTTCTGGGCAGATGTGGACAACAGGCGTGCAGGTGACGTCTACTACCGGGAGGCCACGGACCCAGCCACGCTGCACAGAGCCACGGAGGACATCAGGCGCTACTTCCCCGAGCTCCCGGACTTCTCTGCCACCTGGGTCTTTGTCGCCACATGGTACCGAGTGACCTTCTTTGGAGGCAGCTCTTCTTCTCCTGTGAGTCCGGGCCTTGGTCCTGAGAAGGGAGGGTATCTAGCTAGGACCCTCCCCCAGGCAGGCCAGGTGCAGTCCCTCATCCACACCCAAGAGGAGCATGGGGCTCAGGAATCCAAGTCCCCGCAGCAAAGAGTCTGTCCACTTCCTGGGCCGCGGTCAAGGACCCGTGGAGGGGGGTGGAGCCTCTCTCCCAGACCTCCTGGAAGCTGCACACTGGCAGCAGATGTGCTAGTGACTCTGTCAGGGGAGCAGGAGTCAGGAGGACTTCCATTTGGAGTGCCCAGCACGCAGGGACTCTGCAGGAGCCGTTCCGTTTCTGTTTGTTCCCCGCCCTTGGCAATGCCAGCCAGCCAGTGTGCTAACAGGAATTCCTGGGCACTCTGCCCAGCCTGGTGAGAAGAGGTGGGTGGACGCTCCCTTAGGAGGACAGTGTTTATTAAGCACCTACGATGTCAAGGCCTGTGTTGGATATTGGGCCACAACTGCCCAGATAGATGCTAATTCCCCAGAAAGAGGTACYGAGGGGCACACGTCCTGAGCTCTCTGTTCACCACTCGATAAACACTTTTTAGGGCACCTGCTAAGCAGCAGGCAGTGTCTTGGGCACGGGGGACACAGCCCTGGACAAAGCAGACAGGARTAGTGCAGCCCATCAGCATGCTCCAGTGGAGGTGACAGGAACAGCATGTCCTGGGCACCAGGCACCAGACGTGCTCGGAGGCACAGGTGGCACTTGGCAGCACTTCCCGCGCTGCCAGGAGCAGGCTCATCGACACAAAGTGGACGTCACGGTTCTTGCATCTCCTCGTAGCTTGTGGAAACACTGAGGTTGGCCAGCTCCCACAGGCCCGCTCCCACACCCTGATGGTGGCTGTCACATCTCGGTTAGGTTCACTTTCCCAAAGCACAGTGCCCATTCCCCTGTTTGCTCACACTACAGCCCGCCGCGGCTCCCATGGTCTCCATGGCTGCCAGCCAGCCCGGGGCCCTGCTGTACCTCAACTTGTCTCACCTGGACTTGGACAAAATCCATGTGCTACAAGGCTGTGGGGTGGCACCACGTGGCCCCAAGTGGCCCCTGGCATGGTGGTGTCCTGGAGACCCCTGGCCTGCAGACCTGCAGCATCCTCCTCGCGGTGCCAGTGCCTGACCCCAGCCGCGGGCTATGTCATTGTCCCTCCTTGGCAACCAGGCAGGCCACAGAAGGTGCTTCTGAGGGACGTGGGTGTCTTTGCTCTCGGGGGCGGTCGGGTCTGGCCAGCGGCTGCTGCTGGTGTCCTCCGCTGTGGAGGAATGTTCTGGGGCTTTCCCTGTGATCCGGACGCTGCCCTGCAGTGAAGGATATCCATGTCCACCTACCACGGGTCACAAGGGCTTCTTCACTCTGCTATTTGACACTCAGTTTGACCTTACAACACTTTTTTCTAATAAGAAGTATTTTTCCCCAATACATAGTCTCCCTGTTGGTCCCTGCTGTTAACAAACGTCATACTCAAAGGTCCTTTTCCTCACRAGGTGTGGACACATGGCCTCTTTCCTTCCTGGATTTCCATGGCTGTGTTTTAAAGCCACACTTGGTTGGGACTAATCGGGCACTGTGTAAAAGCAGGCTCGGAGTCTCTTCTCTCTCAGGAAGCTTCCCCGTTCCCAGGTCATTTCTTGAACTGTCCCAATTCCTCACCCTGAAGTAAGATGACATGTCTTACATGGACACTGCCCACCCTGGAACACAGATCATAAACCTTGAGGATGCGGAACGGCTCTTCTCTGGTTCCCCTGTATCATCCCCCTTTTTTCTTTTTACATTTTTATTCATTTCACACAAGAAATTTCATGGACTTGGCCAAGTGAGCACTGAGCCACTGCAGAGCCGCGTCCTCGGGGGTGGGCCCAGTCTGCTTCGTGTCCCAGGCGGCCTCCACCCGGTGCATGTCACTCACAGCCCATGCAGCAAGGCGGGGTGCTGTGCCCTGGGCCCTCGCACTCCTGCCTGGCTGACTGTCCCCCTGTGGGGCGGACACTGAGTAGGCCCAGAGCAGGGCCTCACTGCAGCCCCTGCCCAGCCCTCTCTCCTACACAGGTCAATACATTCCAGACGGTGCTGGTCACCAACGGCAAGTCCTCCTTCACCATCTTCAACTACGAGTCCATCTCATGGACCACAGGCACTCATGCCAGCAGTGGGGGCAACTCTGCTGGCCTGGGGGGCATCGCAGCCCAGGTAGGTCACGGTGGGGCTGGTACTTGGTATCCAGGGGCCCCTATTCCTCCTGCTGGGACTGTCATAACCTGAAGGAGCGAGGCTGGGGTCACTGTAGGCAGATCTGCCCCACCACCCTGCAGAAGCCAGAGTGAGGAGATCACAGTGACAAGGCACAACCAGGTGTCCTCAAGGCGGCCCCTCACTGCCCAGAACTGCAGAAATCCTCAGGCTCAAAGGCACCATGGTCCCCTGATCCTCCTTACAGTGGCTCTTGATTGACAGATACAAAAGTGACTGGAAGCCCCTCCCCTCAGTGTGCCTCCACTCATCTTCTGGACCCTCTCCGGCCCCAAGGCCTTCCGGGAGGCCCAGGAGCCCAGGGGTGAGGCTGGAGGCAGGGGTCAGGGAACAGGGCCAGTGCTCCTGTTGGCTGAGGCAAGGTTRGTTGACCTCAGGGCCTGGCTAGGACTTGACATATGCAGAGTCCCAGGTACCAGGCCATCTGCCCCACCCTCTTTGACCTTGGCCACCCAGGGAAGGGTCGAGGAAATGTAAGGAGACCTGTCTCCCTCCTGCCCCCACCCCAGGCAGGCTTCAATGCGGGCGATGGGCGGCGCTACTTCAACATCCCTGGCTCGCGCACCGCAGACATGGCAGAGGTGGAGACCACCACCAACGTGGGTGTGCCCGGGCGCTGGGCGTTCAGAATCGATGATGCCCAGGTGCGCGTGGGGGGCTGCGGCCATACAAGTAAGAGGCTCAGGGCGGGGAGGGCTGAGGAATGGGGGCCTACAGGAGGGGCTGGGGGGGTGCTGACCCAGGGCAGGGGGACCACGTAAGGACRAAGCACAGGAACTGGGCAGGTCCTGGGGCTCCACCCTGAGCCGGTTTCCCCAGGGGCTCATGGGCTCCTGATGTAGGCTGGGACCACAGGCGTGGGCCACACTTAGGGGTCGGTGTTGTGACCAGCCTGTGCCCGGTACAGACTGGGTGGTCCCAGGTCCCTCCATCTGACCGTGCAGGCTGATGGGGCTTGTCCCTCCTGCACGAGCAGACGGCCCTGGGACAGCGTGGACCCTGGGACCCCCAGTGCTGCTGCGTGCAGCCTCGGGAGACAAGACGTCAGGTGACTGCCCAAGGGTGTCAGGTGACTGCCCAGTCATGTGGGGGAGCTGCTCCTCACAAGCCCAGCCAGTGCCACAGAGAGGCCTCTACTGGGGCCTCCTCTCCCACCTCTGGGCCTGAGGCCACCCCGAGCTGCCTCCCCTCCCTCCACTGGGCCCGAGCCTACCCCAAGCTGGGTGCTTCTCCCCAGCGCCATTCCAGAGAGCCAGTACAATGCTGGGGACCCGCCAGACCAGCTGCAGGTGCAGGCACACACACAATGACCAAGAGGGAGGAGCACCAGGCATCTACTGGCCGGGGAGACACTCCTGAGTGCCCACCTCTGGGGAGAGGCCTGCGAGCCACAGGCTGCCCACAAAGCAGACTACCGGTAGGCCCCAGTGTGAGTCTGAGCTTAGGGAGTAGGCCCTCTGTGGGCCTGGTGTCCAGGAGCCACACCCCCACCCCCAAGCTGGGGAGCCTCAGGCTAGGTGTCTCAGATCAGAGCCTTTCTAGGCTCCACCATGGATCTGGCACGGGCAGCTGAGGGTGCACATAGGTGCAGACACCCACTCCCAACCACTGCTTTGGGTGGGCCAGTGAAGTCGGGTGGCCTGCCATGGGCCAAGGTCTRGGGTTGGGTGGAGGAGAAGGTGCAGGTGGGGTCCTGTGGGCAGGCCATGCCTGGAGCTGTGAACTACGAGCCTGGGGAAAGGGGCCCTCAGAAGAGGGTCYTGCCAGTCCTGGGGGCCCTCCTGCCCACTGTCCAAGATCTCTGGATGAACAGTTAGAGGGGCCTCCAGGTCCCCGATACCCCTGCGGGCGGGGACACTGCAGTCCTCCAAGCCAGCCTCGCAGCAGCCTGCATACTGTCCAGCTGCAGGGTCAGCTCTGAGGACTCCACCAACGTGGCTCACAGCAGGGGGTCAGTGTGTGCTGAGAGGCAGTGCGTCCACATCTGGAAGTCGGATTCKGAGAAAGCAGGGCCCACAGGCAGCACCATTCAGCAGGTGGCCAAGCATAGGGAGGCTGGGCGGGCAGCACGGGTCCTTCCAGGAGACTCCCTGGGACCCTCTTAGCAACAGGAATCCAAGTCCTCGGGATGCTGTTGTCACCTGCTGATTTGTGCTTTTCAGCCTCAGGTTCCACAGCTGCGCTCTCCTGGCTGTCTGCTGCGGCAGGTCAGGGTGTGGAGGTCGGGGGCCCCTTCCTGGTGGCAGCCGTGCTGGGAGAARCAGGGCTCTGATGGCTGACTGCCAGGAAACCCAGAGGGCGCCTGGGCCTCAGAATTGCCCATGGCAGAGCCGGGGAGACTCGGGGGACAAGCAGGGGCTGTGGGTGTGATTCTGGGGGTGTGCCTTCCAAGGCAAGGTCAAAGCGGAGGCACTAACTGCCAGCCGGAGCTCCGGCAGGCAGCACCCTCCATCACACAGGGCTCCCTGCAGACCAGGCCCTGGGCAGTGAAAGCCTGGGTGTGCTGCTGCCCATGGTCACCAGGTGACCTTGGGGACCAAGGGAGGGAAGGAGGACATAGTGTATATGAGCGGCTCTCTGGCCCAAGTCCTAGGGGCTGACCTGAGACWCGGGCTCCTACCTGTGCCCACAGCCTCTGTGTGCCTGGCCCTGCGCCCGTGCCTCAACGGCGGCAAGTGCATCGATGACTGTGTCACCGGCAACCCCTCGTACACGTGCTCCTGCCTCGCAGGCTTCACAGGGCGGAGGTGCCACCTGGGTGAGTCATGGCCCGGGGGAACAGGGTGTTCACTGAGGGGACCGGCCCCCTGGCTGCACTGGGCTCAGGAGTGCTGCTGCTGCAGGCGGTGACCCTGAAGGCCTGAGTCAGGGTTTCTGTCCCTCTGTGGTGGGGATGGCTGAGGGGCAGATGCTGTGGCTCTGTGGCAGTGAAGACGGTCGGCGGGTACTGCTGCTGTCCCTGGAGGCCTTCTCTGAGTCAAGCTCAGTTTGGCCATTTGTCCCCCACCCCACCCAGCCCTATGTCCTCCACTGAAGCCCAGCCTGCCCGTTTCAGATGTGAACGAGTGTGCTTCACACCCGTGTCAGAATGGCGGGACCTGCACCAATGGTGTCAACAGCTTCAGTTGTGAATGCCCAGCTGGCTTCAGGGGACCCACCTGTGAGTCGGGTAAGAAGAACCTGCCAGCAGGCCCCCTGACCCTGCTGCTGCAAGAGAGCTGGACCCGGGGTTAGAGAGACTGAGGTCTAGGCCCTGGAGGGGCTCAGCCTCAGTTGTCRGGCACCCAGAGAGGCTGTCGGTGGTGGGGGAGGTACTAGGCAAAARTCCTGCCCGTGGGTGAACCAGAGGAGTGACCCCCAGAGACACGGCTTCYAGGCCCTGATGCTGGAGTAGGAATGAAGCCCTGATCTCGGCTGGTGTCTGGGTCAGTGCCCAGGCCCTCGTCAAGGCCAGACCATCAGCAGAGCCTAGATGAGGCCCACCCAGAGAGCTCGATGGGAAGACAGGGACTCCGGGGCTCCTGGGCCAGCTCTGGGGTGAGCAGGGCCCAGCGGTGTGCTCAGGGAGCAAGACCCCCAGCCCGCCCTCCACCTGCCCATGCCTCCTGAGCCAGCAGGTCCAAGGACACCCCTTGGTCTCAGGGCCCAGGCAGGGGCTGGCCCTTCTCCTCTCCACTCCTGCCTCCAGACCACTGGGGGCTGGCCCTCTCCTCAGAGCCTGGCTCTTTGAAGCTGTCCTGGACGATTCAGCCTCATATCATTGTACTTTGACCAGCACCTTCGTTGGGGCCCCTGGGGTTCCCCTCGCCCTTGACCTCYTGACAAAGAAAGACGGGTCCCCCTCCTGGCCCGAGCCTCACTGTGGGGTGGTGCTGGGAGAGCTACACAAGCTTGGTGACCACCTGCCCTCGGGCTCAGCCTGCTGCACTGACACAATGTGAGAGTCCTTCACCGAACACACGGTGGTCAGCCCAGTGTCCGGGTCGCAGCCACCTCAGCACCGCAGGTCACAGAAACCATCTCTGCCGGGGTAGCAAGTTCAGGGAGGGGCTCAGCAGGGGTCCTGGGTCTTTGCCGATCAGTAGCACAGCCCGGCACCCAACCTGCCGTCCTCTCCTCCTTCATGCAGCCCTATCCCCATGTGACAGCACAGAGTGTCAAAATGGCGGCCAGTGCCAGGCGGAGAGTGGTTCTGCCRTGTGTGTGTGCCAGGCCGGGTACACGGGGGCCACCTGCGAGACGGGTGAGCAGTGACTCTCTGGGCGAAGGGCCRGGGAAGTGGGGGGTGCTGGGAGAGGTTCCCCTCCCAGCCAGATGCTGGGCCCGGGGTSTCCCACCTGGGCTCAGCCAACCTGCCACCTCTGCTGCCCCCAGATGTGGACGAGTGTGGCTCAGACCCCTGCCTAAACGGAGGGTCGTGTGTCGACCTGGTGGGGAACTACACCTGCGTGTGTGTGGAGCCCTTCGAGGGACCTCGCTGCGAGACAGGTAGCTGGCCACATGCCCGTGTCCCGCCTCCCTGTCCAGCTCAACCCCACATCTGCCTCTGGCTTGGGGAGGTCCCTGCCCTCTCCCCACTTCCCATCCCCTCCTGAGCCGGAGCCAGCAGAGCAGGGAGCAAGCTGTGAGGCTGGGTGAGGGTCTTCTCCTGCTCAGGGAAAGGTCTGGCCCTTGATTTCCTCTGCAAAATGCAAGAACRGACCTCCTCTTCCAGCTTAGTGTCACGGCCTTTTAACATCTTCCTGACCCAGAACCCTCCGGGGAGCTAGAAAGGGGGCCGGCCTTCAGTGCCTGCAGGGGACCTTCTGCCATTTCCTGTTGTTTTAAAYGTGGGTGGTGACAGTAGACCCAGGAAGAGGCCAACTAGAGGTTTTGAAGCACCAAACCCTTCAGTGTGAGCACGGCTCTGACCCCAGGCCCACCCATGGGGCAGACTCCTGGAGGTGCAGGGGCTGCTGTGCCTGGGTGCTGAGAGACTCTGCAAATTCATTTTTGGCTTTAAAAAATAAGAAGGAAGTTAATTTAACCATGAGAAAGACACAGATGGCCACTGCCTTCCATCCTTCTCCATGTCCATGGCCACCCAGGCAGAGCGTCCCCAGGGGGCAGGCTGGAGTGCAGAGGGCAGAGGGCGGGGGCACCTGGCCTGCTGGCTGCCTTCACACCGGGTTGCAGTTCACTCCTCAGGTGGTTCACAAAACTCGTGTCAAAAAGCAGGTAAGTGGTTTCCAAAGATTTTTACAAATAAATCATGTTTGACACAGCATAATAATGCAAATGGAAGTGAATAATAAAAACGGCAGAACAGGCAGAGTGTCTGGTGTCCGCCTAGAGCCCCAGCTGCTTGGAGGCTAAGGTGGGAGGATCGCATGAGCCCAGTAGTTTGAGGCCAGGGCAACAAAGGAGACTCCATCGCCAAACATACATAAGCCACAGAACTGAGCCTTGGACCACTGGTGTAAGTTCGCTAGCTACGTACAAAGTGCCAGCCCTGACAGTCTAACCAGAGTTCACGGGAACTGACCGATGAACTTGAGACTACAGAGTGGCTGCTCTCATGCTGACTGCTCTAGAAAWCCCCCTCTCACTGTCGACAATCAGAAAGCCAAGCCAAGCCTGCCAGTGCCCTGACGTCAGCCCCTGGACCACACAGCCGAGGGCAGTGGAGAGGAGAGGAGAGCCCTGCAATCTCGGCAGACGCTGTCGGAGCACCCAGGCTGCCCTGCAGGGAGGGGTCCAGGGTCAGGAGTCCTGAGTCGAGGAGCAAGATTCAGGTTTGAAGGCTCAAACAGAGGTTGGGGGCTCAGACCAGAAGAGATGGAGCTAGGGGTGGGGGGATGGGACGGGAGATCGGGAAGGGCCTGGAGTCTTGGCTCCAGTGTGATCTGGGTGGGGGGAATCCGCCAAGCTAGAACAGAACACCAGAAAGCGACTCCCATCTCCACCAGGGCTCGGAAAGTCACCCACACCTGCCAGAGCGGGGAGCACTCTCCACACCAGGGCCAGGGTGGAAAGAGCCGCAGGAGGAGCCTTCAGCTAGGGAGAAAGCYGGGCTGAGGTGAGGACTGAGCCGACTGCCCCACGGCCTCAGAAGGAAGTCCCAAAGAATCCAGCGGATCCAGGTCTTGACCACACGCAGGAACATCCTACACTCCCCCAACAGCACAACAGGCCTGCGCAGGGCCCGGAACCCAAGCTGCCCAGTCAAAGATGTCAGGCCACAGAGAAGTCAGACGTGACCTCTATCCAGGAGAAAGACAGATSAGCAGAAACAGAGACCACAGAGACAAAAGCATCATTATACCTATTTAGACACTCGTAGGAGAATGCTGCATATTCTCAAGACTCTTGAGGGAGGAAAAGGGAATAATGAGAAGTACAAAATATTTTTAAAAGAAACCGTAGTGATGAAAGCTATGTCTGAATATTTAGAGTGCACTGGATTGTGACAGCAGGTTAGATGCTGCAGAGGGAGGTCCAACAAACGAGAAGGAGGGAGAGGAATAGAAACAACTCAGAAAGTGTCCAGAGAGCAGGACTGGAAGCACAGGTGATCGGTGGCCCACAGGACCACCCCAAGAGGCCTGGATCTGTGAACCTGGAGTCCGCGGGAGAGGAAGAGGCGGGAAGAGGGAGTCCCATAAACAGTACAGAAGAAATGACAGCCAAGTACCTTCCAAAGTGGATGAAAACTGAGCCCAAGTGCTCAAGAAGAACATGAGGAAAACCACACACAGATACCCCRTGAGCACCGCTAGGCCCAGCACAAGCCACGTGTCTCAGCAGCAGCAAAGGGACACGTCGGCACRTCCAGAGAACCTGAGTGACAGCAGGCTTGCCAGGAGCTGCACTCACCAGCACACACGAGTGACACCATTTCAGTGCTGGAAGAAAGGACTATCGGCAGAGCAGAGCCATCTTTCAGAAATCAAGGAGAAATGAAGATTTTTTTACATGAACAGACGCCAAGAGCATTCATCGGCCTATCTGTGTTGTAAAAACGTCAAATGTTTCAGATGAAAGGAAAACGATCCTTTGTGTAAACTATGGGTTTACACAAAGTACAGAATGTTAGGAACTACCAATCTGTAGGTAAAAGACTTTCTTACTTCAAAAGCTCCTTAAAGACAATTTAAAAATCAGCAATTTTTATTCTAAAGGTGAGGTAGTATCCTGATGTGGTGTTGCATGCCTATAATCCCAGTGACTACAGAGGCTAAGGCAGGAGGGTTGCAAGTTCAAGGCTAGCCTGAGTGACATAGCAAGACCCTGTCTCAAAATAAAAATAAAAATGGGTGGGATGTAACTAGTGGTGAAGCACTCCAGGGTTGAATACCCAGTACAAAAAGAAAGTTTGAAAAATGAAGTAGTGATATATTATGGTGTTTATAGTATAGGTAGGAATAAACTATCACACAAGGCAGTGCAGACTTTGTGTAAGGACCAGATAAATACTTTTGGCCTTGAAAACAGCTACCCAGCTCTGCCATTGGGATAGGAAATCAGCCATAGATAAGACACAAATGTATGGCATAGATGGGTGCCAAAAAAAAATCTTTAATTTTTAAAATGAGTGGCAGGCGCGATTTGGTCTGTGGACCATAGTTTATCAACCTGGCATAAAAGACAGGAAGAAATGGAAGTATAATATYATAAAAGCCTCATGTTATATAAAGTGGCATAATATTACTTAAAGGTAAAGGCAAAAGATAAGTTTTAAGTAAAAGATAAACATTGTAATCTCTARAGCAACAAGTAAAAAAACAAGAAAAACTAAAACCAGTTGTGGGGGTAGAATGGTAGATGCTTAATCAATCCAGAGGTAGGAAAAAAGTAACAAAGGAGCATCAGGACACACAGATTCATACAAGACGACAGGTTCAATCTAGTCACATCTGTAGTTCAGTAACATGTAAACCAAAGGCACCAGTTAGAGACGAGGCTGTCAGTGAATCAAAAACCAAAACCCATCAAGACACYGTTTAAAGAAACCCAAACCAAGCGTGGCAGTGCAGATCACTGCAGAGTGCCGGACGGGTTTCTAGTCCTGAGTGCGATAGAGTAAGCCCACTCTGTCCTGTCTCTCCCACTGAATGCAGCCGTAAACCCTGGACAGAATGCGTGGAGTAGCTATCTGAGGACTCGGGGAAGTAAGTAGTAGCAGGTGGCCTGGGGAAGGAGACCAAGCCAAGAAGTGCCACCGAGCCAGTGGTGAGTTTACTTTTCTTTCCCCTCTCTGGTATCCCCTCAGTTTGGACTCAAAGTCACTCTGAAACCAAAAGTGAGCAACATGTCCACAACATGGACCAAGGAGAGCCCAGTAATCCCTGTGGCCGGGCTCCAGAAGCAGGGCCCATGGAGGCCCACTGTGGGGACCTCACAGTGTGAGCAGGGAACCTTCCTCACCAACTGGAGGTGCTACAGTTGCAAAGGGTATAGCCAACCCCTGTTATTGTCCTTCTCTGCCCCCCACCACAAGTCCTGTCACAGGAGCAGATGGTAGGGAGGGCCATTGAAAGCTCAGCTTTCTAGCCACAGGACCAAGAAGAGTAACCCAGAGAGCTCATGGAGACTGAGCAGGGGTTGCACCTGGGTTCAGCAACTTTAGGAAGCTATTTATGAACTCTTGGGCTCCCCCAGGTTAGGCATGTGTGATCTGATCCAAAGTTTAAAGACCATACCTTTTATAATAGTTCCCCTAAAGATAAAAATTTAGATGTAAATCTTACAAAATGCACATAATTTGTATGATTAAGCCTATGAAATAATGATGAAAGAAGCCAAAGGAAGTCTAAGTGAATGGTTGGACACCCCATGTTCATGGATGAGAAGAGTCAACATGGTAAAGTAAAGATGTCAGTTTTCCCCACATTGATTAATTAATAGGATTCCAACCAAAATCTCAGCAGGATTTTTTTTGTAGATATAGACAAGATTGTTCTAAAATTTATATGGGAATTTATATGAATAGCCAAAACAATTTTGAAAAAGAAGAATAAATATTGAGGATTTGCACTACCAGGTGTTAAGACTAACTATAAACCTACACTGAGGACAACCACGTGTTACTGGCAAATGGGTCAATGGGACAGAAGAGAGAATTCAAAATCAGATTCACACAAATATGGTCCATTAACTTTTGAAAATATATAAAAGCAATTAAGTGGATAAAGGATGATCCTTCCAACAAATGGGATTGAAATTTTACTTATGCAAAAAAAAAAACCCCAAACCTCACACCTTATACAAATATTAACTCAAAATGGAGCATAAACCTAAATGGAAAATGTAGAACTATAACATTTTTAAAAGAAAATGTGAAAAAAAAWWWTKGKWAMCYKGSC